GCTATACCCCTACCTATATCTGTACGCTGGCTGTTAGCCCGGTACCTAACTAACAGCAACAGCAACAAACAAACAAACAAACAAACAAACAAACAAACAAACAAACAAACAAACAAACAAACAAACAACAGCAACAGCAGCAACAGCAACAGCAACAGCAACAGCAACAGCAACAGCAACAGCAGCAACAGCAACAGCAACAACAACAACAACAACAACAACAACCACAAAAATAACGACAACGACCATCACCACCCCCACGACGACGACGACGACGACGACGACGACAGCAGCAACAACAGCATGATGATGGTAGCTAATCGAATCGGCAAATCAACGTCAGCGGACACACCACAAATGCCAACAATAACATCTTAGAATGATCAAGACAGAAGCATCATGGTCCTCATCATGGGCAGCAGGAGTCTCATCATCACTGTCATCATCTTTATCGTCATCATCCCGGCCATGTGTCATTGCCAGTGTGAAGGAAACCATGGTCATGATGACCTCTGCCATGATGGAAAGATAACGTCCCACGACAGCAGCAACACACCATCACCATCGTTCACCATCGTCATCATATCATCACCATCATCATTTTCATCATCAACATAATCATCATCATGATCGTCGCCATCGTCATCATCACCTTCGTCATAGTCACCACCACCGCCATCGTGACCATCATCACTATCATCATCAGAATTGTCGTCGTCGTCGTCGTTAGAAACCAGAAGCCGCAGCAACAGGTACAGCAGCAGAAGGCAGCAGCCACTGCAGCAGCAGCCGCCTTCGGCGCCACCACCACAACCATCATTACCATCGTAACTAACATCACCATGTCTAGTCCTGCGGCAGCCGTATAGACAGCATCAACTCACTAGTTGAGGCAACGAAACAAATACAGACATGGCAGTGGCACTGACAGACATGCTGATTCTGTCAATATGAGAATTACATTACTTTTGTTTCGAGTTTAGTGCTGAGGTTTTGGGTAACCATGAAGACCTCAGGGCAGGGCCGTCCTACACGGCTCATCGCCAGCAAAGATAAACTCTTGCTGATCACAGATCCTGCCCAAGCTGGGCAGGATGCTTCCAGAAAGGGAGACTAAGGCGGACGGAGGAGTTCTGACAGGGTTGCTAGTCTATGATGCGGTCATTCTATGTAACACTGTTGCTGCAATTACAACTGGTGCTACAAGTGCGGTTCATACTATTGCCAGCACTGCTAGGAACTTCCGTGCTGCACCAGAGCTGACAGAAACCACTGGTGACCGCATGCCTCTTCAACTTGCCTCACGAACTGCCGCTCGTAAATTTGGTCATAACGAGAACTTAAAGGAACCCCATTATAGCACCTTACCGTGAAAGGGTGCCCTTAAAGGAGCCCTATTTAAGTACCCTACTCTTCAAGGGTACCCTCAATAGTGTCAACTCACGCAATCCAACACTTCCCTCCGATGCGCTTCGTTTCCTCAAAACTGTGTAGGGAATCTTCAGCCGCCGTCAGTGCCCTGTGCGCCACACAGCGATAGTGATAGTGAGAACAAGACTTGCACCAGAAGGCCCAGGAGGGATGACACTATTCTTAGCCGACCCCAGGGCCCCAAACCCTTAGGGTCTAGGGCTTAGGGTTTAGGGTTTGGGGTTTAGGGTTTAGGGTTTAGGGTTTAGGGTTTAGGGCTTTGGGTTTAGGGCTAGCTACAACTCTAAGCCCCAAGCCACGTGAACACGTAAACGCTGGAACCAGCGCCCGGCCTATCGAGATACATGCAGCCGCCTGCAATGCACTCTGGCCGAGAAACTGAGACGCCAAAAAGTTGCAAGTACTAGGGTTTAGGGTTTGCGGGTGTAGGGGAGACTCGGATATTCAGGGCTCGGGCTTTAGGATGGGAGCCCAACATTTCTGTCACTGAATCTAGGGATCCACTGACCTTCCTTCCCCAGGCAAAAACAAACTTTAACACTTAAACCGAGAGCCCAAAGGGTTTAGGGTTTGGGGTTTAGCTAAACGCCGGACCCCCTCTACAAAGACCTCTTGGTCTCAAAGGTCTCAGGTAAAAGCTCTCCAACCCAAGCAGCACACGCAGCTCGCCGAGTTCCCGGCCAAGCTCCCTCAGCACCTCCACTCTACTTTGACATTCCTGCGAGGCAGACATGCAGGAGCAGAAGGGTGAATCTTCTGTACTAGGAGTTGTTCAGACCCCTATTTGGGAGTTTCCGAAAATAGGGGACCCTAATATGGTACCATAAATAGTAGGATCCTTATTATAAGGACCCCAAAATAAGGTACCCTAATTTTTGGAAACTCCCATTTTGGTCGCTTCACCCAACATGGTGGAACTCGGGGGGGGATCAATCTGTTGGAGCAGCCATGGGGAGAGTGCTCAGAGTTGGAATAAGCGTCGGAACAAAAGCCGTCAGTATACCTGCCCAGCAGGACAACATCAGTCTTTCGACTACTGTGACAATAGCCGCAGTGCGAACAGAATATTGAGGATACAGGATACTGATACTAGTAGCAGCCATTTGCAATGAGTCGGACCGCAATGATAGTCAAGATTGAAAACGAAATCAGAGCATAGTATGATTTCAATGAGTCCACCAACCGGGCTCCAGGCTTTACAAAGTAAGGATACTGTCAAGGGTTGAGGCCTGAGATTGTCGGGAATGTAAGGCCTTGGCCCATCAAGATCAGAAAGCACCAAACTTAAGCCCTCAACCCTCAGCCAAAAGCACCCACGGCACTGAATGCAAGTTGCAAGTCTCAAAGCCCGGAGCCAGTAGGCACGGACGGGGTCAAAAAGAAAGGTGGCGCTCCGGCCCACATTCGTGTGGAGAGTGTCGCATGTAGTGCTGCATCCAGGCACTACCTCTCAGACAGGAAAACATCTTGGCAGAATCATTTAAGGTTTAGGGGATCTGCCTCAGGCAACATGCACTTTGCTACAGGCCCTGATTGTTGAACCGTCTTTACCAAGTTGCAACTTCTGCTTCCTACCGTCACTTTATCGCGCAGTGAGAAGAAAGCAAAAGAGATCCCCTAAACCCTAAACCCTAAACCCCTAAATCAAGGGTGACTCCGGGAGCCCGGCTTTTGCAATCCAGAGCTGCACTGTAGCTTGCCCTGGATGCAGGCTGCAGAAGGTAATGTAGGGGCCTTTTTTTTAATAAGAACAGGGTTTTCGGCTCCTTTATAGTATTCTTATCAGGAACCCTAACAGTAATAATATTGGTAATTATTGAGGCTTCTATTGTGTCCCAAACCCAAACCCCTAAACCCAAATCGATCAGCAGCCATGCCCCCTGAAGCCCTCAATTCCGCCCGTGCTCCGACCGATCATGTTGCGCGACTGTTGCTGCGACTGCCATGGCCAAGGAGGTAGGATTTAGGGCTTTGGGTCTTTCTGTAGTCCTCTTACCCCGTAAGAAGTAGCAACGCTGAGGGCGCGACTAGTGCTGTTTTGCCTGGTACACCCACCTTAACTAAAGTAAGTCGACGGAATAACTCATGGCGGACTGTCATATCACCACAAGGATTCAGGAATCGGAGCGATGATCATTTCTCCTACTCTCCACCATTCCTGCAACATGGCTGTAGGCTTCCTCCTTCGTCTTGCTACTACAACTACTCATACCAGCACAGCTGACGGGAAAAATCCTGC